TGTTGTTGAAGTGCGCGACACACCCACAATCCCGACAGTGTATCCCCAAGTGGCCAGAGTTAGCGTTTACATGGTTGTTGGAGTGTTCTCGAAGGCGGTCATTCAAACATCGCCCAGTTTGTCCGACGTATTGTCTTCCACAGGAAAAGAGGAATGAATAGACAACCCCCTCAACGCAAGGCACAAAGTCATAACAATCAGTCAGTTTATAATTGGGCTTCAAAGCATATAAATTTTCAAAAATATAAAATGATGTTTGATTCCGAGTAGACACACGTGGAACCCTAAGCCACTCTTCAGACAAGAGGCTCGATGAATTAATCGAACCATGTAACGTTTTAAACAAAAACAATAGGATCGCCTTCTGCGACTCCGGTGCAGGCTAAGGACGTCAACACACCCTAACGTTGCGTCGTAAGTTGAGCAATGAACATCCTTCACAAGGTAGGGATGTTTAGAAATGGAATAAACATTTTCAGAACTTGTTCTGTTTCCATTGACTTAGTTTTAGGGATTCCGTACTTCACAACCAAGGCGTATTCTATCTGGGGCAAGCGTAACGAGTGGTACACATCGCGACACTGTTAACGCGAACACATCATCGGCGCATTTTCGCATTTTACTTCTAAATAGTATTAGCGAGCACGAAATTGTATCACTTACATTATAGAACTAAATGGGCTCTTTGAGTAGCAATAATAACTTGGATGACATCCCTTGGTTTCAAAGAGAAAAACTGGAACAACCGGCGATCGCTTGTTCGCGCTAACAGTGTCGCGCTCTGTACAACGTGAGAAACGCCGAAGGATGTTTGAAGTCCTTCGTTAAGCGAGAGGCAACACCCAGCGCGCGCAGAGACGAGCCTAGTTACGTGGCTAGTGAATAGTAAAGCGCAAAGTATACTAAACCAAATTTGCAAGAACAAAAGACATAGCACAATGCTGGTCACTAGTAAATCAACTGCTAGGAGGAGAAAAGAAAAGAAAAAAACGATTGAAGACGAAATTAAAGTTAATTCAGGAAACTATCGTGATATGGAAACTTCTTGCAAATGAATTTAGTTCAGATAATGCTCAATCAACTTTAAAAAAATTGTTCCATGCCAACATTAGGGCAACCTAATCAAATCAGAATCTCTGATGCAATTTTTCTACCGGAGATGACTGATAACGACCCAATACACATCTTGAATCAAATCAAAACCAATAAAGCAGGAGGATACGATCAAATAAGGGCAAGGAACACTAAATGCCACATCCGCAAAAGAAAACAAAATTCTGATTCAGCTAAACAATTGTAAATTCTCAAGTGGTATCATTTTTGACAAACTTAAGACTGCTATGTTCGGCCAATTTATAAGAGGGGCGAGAAAAAAAATTCCTTACATATAGACCCGTTTGTATACTCTTGGTAGTTAATTATATAATGGAAAAATATATCAATAAAAATAATTGGGAGTTTTATCGCGAAACGTAATGCATTAATTGACACGCAATTTGGTTTCAGAGAAAAAATGGGAACTTCAGATCTTCTGGAAGACTTTTTTGATTATGGAAAAAAAAAACTTTGACTGTACAAAATACGAAGTAGCTGTTTTATAGATTTAACACGGGCGTTCTAAAAGTTTAATTATTCTATTTATTAGATTGATTGTACAACATCGGGATTCGGGAAAAGTACATGACTTGTTACAAAATTATCTTTTAGACAGATATCAAATAGTGCGACTAGGATCGAAATGTAGTAGGGCAATTAGAGCAAAACAAAGAGTACCGCAAGGTACAGTTCAAGGCCCTCTACTGTTTAATTAATATGTCAATGAGAATGCTCTGGTAAGACTAACAAGCAAATTATTCCAGTTCGCAGATGATACAGTAATTGTATACGCCCACAAAAAATATGAAGTCGTTATAAGAGAAGTGCAAGGAGTACCCCAGAATTCACAATATTTTTCAGTGGTACTGTGAAAATCACATTATCGTAAATACTTATAAAACTCATATAATGTGCAACGTAGACCCTAGAAAAATACTGTTAACTGAATCACCCATTAAAATACAGGATGAAAATTGTAATCACTGTCCAAGCCTAGCAATTGAATATGTAAAAAAATGTAAGATACCTTGGAATGTATATAGACAAACATCTTAAATGGGACTCTCATATAGATCAAGTATGCGAAAAATTAAGGACAGTGATAGCCTTAATGCTCCACATTCAAGATATGGTCCTCAATTCTTAACTTAAATTGATTTATAACTCCTTAGGAAAATCTGTAATACGATATAGAATAACTGTTTGCGGGCACTGCGCCAAATACCTCCAAAGAAGAGTTGAAACCCTATACATAATGTAGGTAAAACAGCGCAGACCGACAAAGACTAAAAGGAAGGTACAAACAGGACAGGACAGGCGCTGACTCGGAACTGAAAGAGCAAGTGCACAAAGAGCAAGTGTACAAAAAAACACGCAAATCCGTTTCTGAGCTGTGTTTCCGGAGTGGTGTACAAAATCCTCCTCTGGTGTGGTGAAGTCTAGATTGGAAAGAAGGGGAGGTCTTTAAATAATAGGCTCAGAGAGCACACCTATTCGGTGAGAGCCACGGTCGAAGGGCATTAGGCGGTGCACTGTAATAGCTGTTTGTGCAAGCAGTCCTTCGAGGAGACCAAGCTTGTAGATAGGCACAAACACAAGGTGACGAGGAAAGTGAGAGAGGCTTTTAGCATAGCAGAAAGCGGGGCGCAGTGCATCAGCGAGCCGTCTGTGACGCTATCTGTGAAATGGATGTGGTTTTTGACTTCGACAAAATAAAAAGGGAGTGGGGGGATGGAGCACGCGGCACGTGGATGACCGGTGCCCTATGTGACGTGTCAGAAAGGTTGGCGCATGTGTAGATTGCTGCCTTACGTGTTTGCTTTTCATGTTTTCTGTAATTAAACCTTCAGTTGCGAGTCAACACCTCTCCCGCCATGTTTGTCCCTTCCTTCTAGTCTTGGTCGTTCTGCGCTGTTTTACCTACGTTATGTAGAGCCTACAGCAATTAGCCCAGCTTTCAACTCGGTTGCAGTTGAAACTCTGCAAAAACAGATATTCAGAAAAATGGGTTGGTAAATAAAAAAAAAATAATGATTTAATAGGTGATATACATATTGAACTAGGCGTAATTTACTTTAGTGATCGATTGAAATATGACATAGTCACAAAATTCTTTTTAATCAATTAACACAAAATACAGGGTGTCACAAATGAAAATTTACACGGTCTTTTTTACCGCGAAAATAAACTAGGCATCGCTGAGCGCTAATTTTCCGCCCAAAGGTAGAGCTAGAGGTCACAACCAGATGCCGAAGTTTCAACCCAATCCGATAACCTAATCAAAAGATATAAGTGATTTTCTGAAAATTTCAATGGGAAAATGGAGCCCATTTTTGCCCGTTTTCGGTTTCTGGTGCCATAGAGCCCCATGTGTTTGAAAACTCCGTCGGCCGCCATTTTCCCATTGAAATTTTCAGAAAATCACTTATAACTTTTGATTAAGTTATCGGATCGGGCTGAAACTCTGGCATCTGGTTGTGACCTCTAGCTCTACCTTTGGGCGGAGAATGAGCGGTCGGCGATGCCTAGTTCATTTTTGCGGTAAAAAAGACCGTGTAAATTTTCTTTTGTGACACCCTGTATATATTGTTAAACAAAGAACATGACGACCAAATAGGAACTATTTCAAACCATTAAGAAAGACAAAGTATGGAGAACCTACAAGAAAATATTATGTGCCGAAGCTTTTTAACCAAATACTTGAAGAGCTGATTGAGGGAAGATATGCACATGCAATAAAAATATTAATAATATGGAGAAAGTAATAAAAAGTGACAATTAATAAAATATACCGACATTCGGCCGTAACGACTTTTCGAATTGTATTGATTATTAAAACGACGCTTTGAGAAATATTAGTAATTAGCAGTATGTACCGAGGCCCGTTCCACGGGTTTTTGTGTAGATGTGTATAAACCCCTTCTTTACTTATAATTTGATTGTTTGATGAAACTCATGGAATGAGTCGAAACTGTAGTCATTCAGGTTGTTAGTCACCTGCAGCGTCCCACACACAACCCTTCTCGGCTTACGTGGGTACAGAGAGAAATGTATTAAAAAAAGACAATAAAGTGTATTGCATTGCATTTTATGCCATTTCGAAGCACTTGGGAAAATATGAATTAATAGCCGATAACGAAATACCGTCGTAGCAGTGTCAATGCCAAGAGCTCCTTCAGGAAGATGCGCTTTTACGCCGCTCCGGAACAAAAAACAACCAAAAGTGTTCGTAAGAAAATGTTTACTTTTTTTACGCTTTTTTTCACGCGTTCCACGATGCATGAACGCGACGGCCGTTCGCCGTGAAGTGTCGCTGCTCTGGATTTGGCTGTTCTGTGAATTCAGATAGGACTCCTCAGTTTTCTTCTAGCGCGTTCTGGCTAAGCCTGATCTTAGTTCTCAATCCCTGAATTGTCACATGGAGCGACGTATAATTCCTTCCGAAATTGTCGTGCGGGGTTTCCTAAAAGAAATGCAAAAGCGATATTCGAACAACGACAATAGTAAACTTTCACCTGGAGCTCATCGACATCACCATTGAATTCATAAAAAAACAGGTAGGGTCACACGCATTTCCTTTTCCTAAAGGTATTTGAACCGTATTGTTCAAGAGGCTCAACTTATAACTTTGCTTTCACGGTATACGTGGAGCCAGGGTATTTTATGCGCCCCTCAAGCCGAAAAGGTTGGTGCACTCAAGAGGACGTGTGTGAGAAAAATATGTTTTCATGCCTGAACAAGGACTATTGTTCCCTGGCAGCTGAGTGACAGGTTGTTTTTCACAACCAAAAGGAAGGCGATCTTACATCAGAAACATATATCAGCGAGGAGCTATAAAAAGGTAACGCTGTACTAAAGCACATACCGTGCCTGCGTGTATATGCACGTGTAAACCTTGAGTGAGAATGATTGCCCTCTTCTTGGGAATTCTTTTCTTATGTCACAACCAGGCTACTTTATCTCAAAATTGCAGCGGCGATTATCCTGATGCCAACGAGGTAAGAAAATACAATTCATGTAACCCGATTAAAGGAAAGTAATGGATAAGGTGTTTGTTTAGTAGCTTAAACCCCCTACATGAAGGTGCATAGATCAACGTACGACGTCCGTATTGTTAGGATGGTGCTGTCAGCAGGAGCGAGCACCGGATAGCACAAGATGAGAGAACACACAAGGAAATCATGAAGGCCGGGCCATTATGTGGGGCGTGGCGCAAGAGAGTCGCCACTGCCCCGCCGTCATCTTACCCTTCCCAACAGCATGTTCAATCTCAAAGGTGATTCTCATCGCGTCGCAGGTTTTTGCTAAATTTACAACACCTTGTCACACCGGCGATAAATTTTAACACATAATGTTCATGGGCGAGAGTTTATGCAAAAAATGTAACGCACGAGTGTCACGAAAAATCGTTACACACAAGCCGAGTCGATATAAAGCATGTACATTCCATACAAAGCAATGCGTGACATTCCAAGAAAAAAAGTATTAGTCGTCATAAAACACACTAACTCACGATCAGGCGAAATTACAGAAAAGAGATCCACCAAGCTGCTCAGTGGGAGTCAAACTGTCGACCATGCAAACCGCAGCCAAATGTCTTTGTTCGGCGCCACACATTTTTTTTTTTTTTTTTTATGGCGGGGAAGTGAGTAATTTTGCAATTCTGTGCCCTTCAGACGCACGACGAAAGAAACCACCGCGTCTTTTGGTGGAAATATAAAAAGCCTCGCATTTAGAGGAGGACTTCAAAATGCTTTTCCCTTCGTGTGCACGATAACGACTTGGTACACACTTTACAGTTGCATTACAAATATACGGAAATTCACATCCAATTACTTCACATGAATATCAGCATGGCAGACAGGAATTCGCGGTTCTAATACGCTAAACAATCCTCGCAACGTTGGCATGTCATTGGGAACACAATCGTACAAATCTACGAACCGGATCGTACATTAACAACTAAAATATTTTTTTTTATTACGCGCTAGAGGACGTGCCAATTAAAACATAGCCACCCAACAAAAACTAAATACGTGTTGGCGTGGCCCGACCGGGCAGCGCAGGCCAGTTTGAATATGAGCACCGTCGAGACCGGTAGTAAAGTCTCCGTCTTCCTCACATTATTTGGTTGAGGTCTTGCGGAGTATTCGCGTCCCTGAAGAGAAGTTTATCGCATTCTGGAGCTTCGAAATCGACGACTGCCGGCTCCGATGAACTCCAATAGACAATCCTTGACGTGCGCTCCAGCCGCTACAGCCTGCCCTGCTCCCTGCCTGGTCCGACATCCTAAGGTTCTTCTGGAATCCTTGAAGATGACGTGGAAGATTGGCTGGTCGTCGACCAGCGAGTATGCCTTTACGACAAACGGGATGAGGAGGCTAAGCTCCGCAATGCCATATTTTCTCTTTCCAATGTGGCTAACATATAGATTACTAACGACGAAGATGAGGTCGCTTCATGGTTACTGTTCCAAAACTCAGCTAGCCAAAAGAGGCGACGAATTGAGGCAAAATAAAAATAAAACGCCTGTAGAGTGTGTGAAATTTTCGCCAGCATTCTGATGACGCTTGTAAATTACTAATGTACCAGTCCCCTCACTATATAAAAGTGACCCCGTCGTGCGACTTTGTAAGTTGATGAAAAAAAAAAAGAAAAACGTTAAAAACTCCGTGTAATGGCAAATTAGAGTGCAGCTCTTCACGAGGAAAAGAGGAGGGTACAGAGAGGAGGGTAGACCTCTCCTTCTTCTCCATACCCTCTGGTCCTCCTCGTCTCCTCCTCCTCCCCTGCCCATCTCCCCCTTCCTCTTTCTCGGCTTCTCCTCCTAACCCTCCTCCTACCTTACCTTCTCCTCTACCCTCCTCTTCCCCCTCCTCTCATTCTACTCCCGTCCACCTCCCCCTCACTGCCTGCCCCCTCGTGACGTCACTCGTGACTCGTGAAGTCACTGTTGAAGGCCTCGGGAAGTGAAGGCCACGTGAAGGTCGTGACTTTTGCCGTGACGTTCGCGAATGACCGTGACGTCACGTGTGACGTCATCATAGGACGTTTCCCATAATGCAACGCGCGGGACCCTCGTGACGTCATAGTGACGTCGTTATGGGAAACGTCCCATAAAGCACCATGCGTGTCACGAGTGAGACCCGCGCGTTGCATCATGGGACGTTTCCCATAATTCCCCACGCGGTTACGCCGTCGGCGACGCTGCTCAAGCCGGAAACAGGCGCCAAAGAGCTGCGCTCTAAAACCTGTTTTATAAGTTGCATGTATAAAAAGAAAATGCTGCGGTACATGTTTCTTTAGGTTTTCTTTTTCCAACTTCCTTTGTGATACTCAAAATTATTTCACCCTTTAGTCCATTCAGGTGCTTGTATCGATAATATTGAACATTTTATTTAAATACTTAAATACGTTTGCAGGTTATGGAGAAGCTACCTGAAACATTCATGCTTCAGTCCCTTCGAGATTTTCCGCCTTTAACATGTGGCTACCAACATTTCTACAACGAGACCCTGGGAGCTCAGACTTACAGAAAATATGATCTTAAATTTTATATCCCAGAAGGCAGGTGAGTACTAAATGTATTAATAACATTACAAATTGTATCGTGCGTGTATCAAACAAAAATCTGAGTTTTAACGTGTTTACTTTACAGCTTTAGTAGACCTCTATATGTAAAAAATGTGACTGGGTACAAAATATTTTTGGGCAAGCAACCAGGTGAGCTCAGGTTTCTTTTTTAAATTCTTAATTCGTTCAATCGGGGAAGCGGTGACATTACGAACAACGTCTGAACTTTTTTGCTCACAAAATGGATATTGACTAATGAGTATAGTTCGTTCGAATTATTCGCTCAGTCTGTAGGCAATCGCGTATTGTTTTATAGTTATGTCAACGCCAAATTAGAAAATACCTTGAATATCTTAAAAACAATTTTGCAATTCGTAATTTAGTCATTCATATTCAAGTAGCTTTGATGGCTGTGTCTCATTCTTTTCGTTCTACTTGAGAAGCTTTTGAGACGGTTTTCTCTAAACATCGGGCTGATGTGCTTTAGGAACAAGTGAGCGGTGTTAATATCGTATATGTGATATGAATATATGCCAGTACGATGCGTGCCAGCTTTCTCATTACCTCGCTGGATATCTGTGCCACGAACGGCATTTTAATCAGTGTGCAATCTGAGGTTTCGTACTAATCGCGAAAGCATGCGTGTGCTTAAAGATAGAAATTCGCAGTGAGCCAATATGCTTCAAATGCTGCAGCAATCTTTGCAGCAAAGTTATCAGAGATTGCTCCCTACACAATTTATTTGCAGTAACTCTGCTTTTCTACAATACGCTACCTTGGTCGAGTTTTTGTCTATGACAATGTTTCGTACATTTTTCAACAGAATCATCGTCTCCTGCGAAGATCAGTCGGGAAATATTGTTTTCGAACATGGATTCTTGTTTCATAATAACAAACCCGCGCCCAGGGTATACTGACGGTTAGTACGAAAAACTATATTGTGCACAAGTGGCGTCTGTCGACAGTTCAAAACATTTACATGAACTAAATGTTTGGAGTTAACTGTGCATTACATTAGGCAACTGAATAGCGCGCATAACAATATTACCTGTGCTCAAGGTATTGAACACCTTTTAAAAATAGAACATACCTTTTAGCTCTACGATTTAGCAGCAATGTTAGTTAAACTTGCGTAAAAACATTTGGCTCTGGAGTAGCGTCCACCTTTAATATTGCCGCGCGCCAAGTAGGAAGCCCGGCCGTAGCCTAACGGTTATCGCGCTTGCCGCCCACGCGAAGGGTTCGATTCCTGGCCGCGTCTACGTATTTTTGTTGACACTGTAATGTGATGTTCTGGTGAATTCGAGAACCGTCTAGCTGATTCGAGTTTAGAATGTTCTACGCGCGAACCTTCTACGTCGAATGCTCCAGAAGCCAACGCGTGTACAAAAGCGGCTCCGCCTGGCAAGCCGGAGTCAGTTTCGCCCCAGCGTTCGACTGTGCTGCTACGCCGACTTCGACGCCCGCGACGCTCTGTTATTAATCTTTGTACCCCTTAAGTTTTGGCACAAGTTCGCCACATTAAACGTTTATTTATTTCTGTTTATTTATTGTTCTTTTGGTCACCGACCGTGACAATATTAGTACCACAAGCATATCGCACTTACAGAGATACCAAGACGCAGTTACAACATTAATTATGCGTGCGAACTCAGGTAACTTGACACGAGAATTAGTTTCTTTTGACATAACTTGACCTGGGGCAGGGGAGGAAAAAAAGTCATAATAAGAAGGGACAACGCGCAACGTCTCCGAACGGAGCTTTAAGTTTAATAAAAAGATACCTTTCATAAGGATAGGACACCCCAGTCGACGACAAAAATCTCTTTACAAGCTCACCTCTATTAGCTTCTCAAAGGGAAACAATATAAACCTTCACCCCCAACGACATCCGCATGGAGCAGGCACGGTACCCAGCAAGTGGTATTGATCTTACACTAACTTCCTACCCCCATTCTTCTCGTCACAATACAGCATACAAAATGCATGTTTACTTCCAGTTATGGCTTGTTTTAGGAAATTTTGGGAACACGAACACATTTTCCTTGAGATGTGATACTAATAGACTACTTGAGGACAGATTTAAATTGATTAGATTCTCCGCTTACATTCTTCGTGCAGTTCCATTCAGGAAAACTACTGTTGCACTCCTGTACATGCTTTACACCCTTTGAATTCGTCAACTTCCACAAAACCGTCCTCTTGTCTACTGAAAGTGTATCGTCCACGCCGCCGCCAGTCTGTCCGATGTACCAAAAACCACATGCTAAATTAATGTCTCACACAAAAGCCTTCCCTGCACTCAATGGCTGAATATTCCCTGCCTCCCCGATCTCCGCAAATGGGCGGCAGCCTAAATTGACGAATATCAGTTTATGCCTCCGCGGTAACTTGGTTCAGGTTATTCCCCGGAAGTTATTTCGAGTTTTAGGGTGATACAAAAAAGCAAAGTTTCTTTCTTTTTTTTGGAGGGGGGGGGGGGGGGGGGATTGATTCGGCATATTGACGATTATAAACAACGGCCACCATATTTCCGATCTGGATGTTCCTCATTTCGTCTTTCAATTTCGCGCACACTGGAAGATTCGTTCGCCGCGATTTGTTTTTCCTGCAAAGTGGCACGCGCATCTAAAGCTCTACAGGTAGTCTGCGTTCGGTGCGTTGGGCTGTCAACGCTCTCTCTTTGGGACACAAAGCGCTTGAGCGCGCTTACGAAATTGGGAAATTATCAATTAATCAACTTATCAACGGTGTTTAATAAGTCAATTTTTATTACGTTTTACTTAATGACCCTCGGCTACAATCACGGTTTACTTATATTCCTTTATGAATTTCTTATAAATTTTTATCTGCCAAGTTATATTTCCGTTAAAAATGTGCGGTGTAATTTAATTACAAGAAAGTAGCTACAACGTTATTTAATTACTCGTTACCCCTTATAAGTATAATAACTTTTCCACGCTTGAAGGCATCTATTATCTCATTTCTTCATACGTACGGGCGCAGTCGAATGCATAAACACATATAGAGCCACGAACACACACATTAAAAGCAATGTTTAAGGCATGGTTAAGCGATAATATAACGCACGCATAAATGTAAAGAACATTATAAGTTGCACTTTTTACGTTTTTTGATTGGTCTCATCGACTCGTGGCGTAGACTGGGACCAAACGTAAGGTGAAAGGGAGTCTAGCTATGCATAGGTGGTTGATCCTACTGGAATCTTCGATTAAAACCACAGAAGAGTGCTCAACTAACTTATCCAGGACTTCGTTTTATCGCTTGCTTAACTCCCGGGAGCTCTATTCTGACGGCATCCGAAGAACTGCTGTTTGATATAGCGCTCAATGGGGAAAGCAGTCCGAGCAGGGGTGGCCGCTCGCTCAAGTCCGAATCCGCAGCTGGACAGGAGAAAAAAAAAAAAAAAAACAGTTTGCCTATACGATGCTATTTTACGTCATACCGTCGAAACATCAAATGTTTTACTGATTCAAATATTCAAACATTGACTTTGCAACCTCATCTATGCACCTTCATGCAAAAGGTGGCGGCAAGCACTTATTGGCCGACGGGTAAATACATTGTCGTGTCCACGACCCAGCAAGTGGCCATCCCTGCTTGGCCTATTCTGTGACCGCTACGTCAAGCCGTTCTTGAGCCGCCGACAGGATAGATCTTCCTTAAAACAAGACACCGTTTCTGTGTTCCGGTTAAGTTTGGCAACCAATGCGCATACAGACTTTTTGAGGCTGACACCTTCCCCTAAAAAGTTTGTAAACTCAAAAAGCCTTTTGTCATAAAGTACTCCGTGCCAAATAACAATTGCCTCGTTCAGCTGTGTGCTGTTAACGCCTATGAGGTAGAAGCGATTGATCAGTCCTCTATAAGCTCACGGATGAAAGGCATACACTACGCAATTCCTTATTGTGTATTTATCTATTTTATACGATTTTTGTATTATCAACGTCCCTTACAATTCAATCAAAGTATCACGCTAAAAAAATTTCTATGGTTTTCGTTATTCCACAGGAAACGTAATAAAGCAGCAAAATGAATTCAAGTGCCTCAGACTTGAAAACAAAGAATATAACGACTAGATAATGCTATAGAGCAGAGCTGGGCACTTTCTGCCATGCGAATGTAGCGCGAGAGTGTATTAAATATACTTTCTTGTATCCATAATTCTATATATAAATACCCATAACGCAAGTTTTATTATTTGTTTTAAAAGTACTAACTTAATCACGAAAGACGACGAAAGTAATCCCTGGAGAAGGGGAACAAGAGGGACAAAGGACAAACATAAATCTCCAAACACAGCTAGGTGACTGGCTATGTTTGTCCTTTGTCCCTCTTGTTCCCCTTCTCCAGGGATTACTTTCGTCATTCTTGTCCAGCTCGCTTGTACCTTTGCATTTAATTGCATTATAATTATAACTTTAAATTGCAAGCTTCATTCACCCTTGTTGGTGTTCGACTGGTGGCGGCTGATAAAACCCGTTTGCTCTACTGACGTCTAACCCCTGGTTAGCTCAGTTGGTAGAGCGCTCCACTTGTAATGGAGAGGTCCCGGGTTCAATACCCGGACCAGGCGGATTTTTTCGGTCGCTCACTAGTCACCTAGCTGTGTTTGGAGATTTATGTTTGTCCTTTGCCCTCTGTTCCCCTTCTCCAGGGATTACTTTCGTCATTCTTGCCCAGCTCGCTTGCACCTTTGCATTTAATTGCATTATAATTATAACCTAATCACAACTTCGTTTTCAATTTGCAAAATTGCGTTTTTATAAATACAGGAGCGTTCTGCAGTCTTTTTGTGTTTTCAGATTCTGGCTATGGCAGCTAAAATTGCTTTAATGTTATGTTTAGGTATTAAACTATTCAACCAGGCATGAAGTGAAAATAGATTTTACACAACAGTTCAATGTTATATTTAAAACTGATTTCATTTTTCAGCCTGTTACCTGATGGTCACAAAAACACACTTTTCTCAACCACCAGGAATATGCCAACAAAAATTCAAAGAGTACTGCAAAGGTGCTGCGTTCAACTATACGATAACAACTAACTGTTCTTCTACAGAGAACCTGATCTAAAATTCTATAAGGACTTTGAAAGTCCCGGAACTTTTAATATTCAAATTATATAAAATTTATATTCGAAACCTCCCTGTTTGCCTCTCGATTTCTATGTTTGAACACCACAAATTGTCGAAGGGATGATATTGTACTGTACTGCGTTTGAGCTTTTCTTATATATGCTGAAGTCACATTCCTGTTGTGCTTCACATCTGCGATCATCTGACGACCTTTAAATTTTCAGAACCTACACATACACTTCGCCTAGAATGTGACCAAATTGTGCAAAGCGTCGTCATAAAAAAAAAAAAACGCTTGGGGAGAAGCACATGCTTTGATTGAGGTTTCAGTTCTTGTGGTTTATGTTGATTTCATGTATACTTTTAATTAAAAAAACCTGTAGGTCTTCATATCGGACTACACAGGTTAGTACAGGCCATTAGAATTCACGCATCGTCCACTTACGTGACGACACCGGTTTCCGGTACACGAATACGATTCACCCGGCATCGAATACTGGCCGCCGACATGGGTTTCGTGGTCAACGGTAATGGGCTAGAGTCAACACCGGTACGATGTTGTAGGAGGCAGATCACATTGCCAGGCGACCGTCATTCTCGTAATGGTACCGGTATTTCCATACAGGCCTGTAAGTTACATTTTCACGAACGAAAAAGAAAACATAACATAACAACTAACAGAAACAAAGGTTCAATCGGCAAAGCCTCGCCAGAAAGAGAAGAAAGAACAAGCGTCGAAAAAGCCGCAGCGAGCCTCGAAGGCGGCAGGAGCGAGCGACGCTGCGCCGGCATGACAGCTGGCTAGCGCGAGAGTTAATGAGTCGGCAAGACCGCGCTCGGCTCTTTATTTACTTAACTCGGACTCTCGAACATGCGGCCTAGAAAGTTCGGGAGGGAGCGAGGGCGAGACTGGCTGAACACGTTTCCTGTATGCGAGCAGAATAGAACATTAGCAATTGTACGTAACATACGTTTTTGGATTAATTGTGTTACCTAAAGATTTGTTGCCGTGGTAGTACCCCAAACTAGGTGACAGAAATTTAAATGAGCAAAAAATAGAGATATCGTGTCAGGCTCTTGGTCAATAAATGGGTTTAATACAGACTTGGACGTAGTTCAACTACTCTACTCAAGCTACAGTAGTTTAACTACTTTTTCGAGTAACTTGGTAACTTTCAATTACAACTTGATTTGGGTAATTAGTAGTTTAATTTAACTACTTTTTCAGGTAACTTCCACTCAAATTACTAACTACTTTCGAAATTTAATAGTGCTAATTTTGCCGATCACGAAAGTTTGAGCGCAGAAATGAATAAGACGCCGGCAGATAAAGTGGCATTCCCTAACAAGGGAATGCCACTTTCCCGAACAATTCCCTTGTTCGGGAAGGCGTCCTTGGGTCAAGGTGGCGACGAGCAGCCAAAACATAACACCGGCACGCACGAACGCAGGAAGAAATGCTTAACAAGGCTTGGTCGGGTATTGACCTAATCCGGTAATGCACGCAGGCGCCGCGTTTCCAGCTGCAACCGTGAAAGACGGGGACACTCCGAGAGTTGTTGTCTGTCTTTAGTGAGTTCTGACTCAAGCGGTAGGTTCCACTGGAGCCGCCACTGGAATGACCTCGCAGCTGGGTGCCTGTTCCCACGGTCGCCTCGTCGTCAGCGCATACGCCTTTGCAAAGCCGGACTCCCCCGCGCACAAACCCTGGCACGGATAATCCGTTCATGGGAGCACGTTCCCGCTTCCAGCTGCAACTGTATACGAGCGACGATGCTTGTTCACGTACTCCTTCGAGTCCTTCCGACCATCCATGCCTGGGAGACCTCCTCTTTGTTGAAAACGATTTACTTGTCAGGCGTGTCAGGCGCGTCAGAATATTGTAGTCGCCGGCGAGGATTGCGAGTTACCCTTGGGAGATCATTTTGTTGGACCCGGCGTCAGCGGCGAAGTATACTTCGGTTCATCTTCTGTTGAACCAAAACATTTTTTTTTCCAGTAGCGTAACACTAGCACTACAACGGAACGCGCAGTCGTCCGGATGATCTCATCGTCGTATCGCGAGACTTGAACCCTCGAATGTCTGGTGCTCTCTATCAGCGTACTCTCAGAACGACGTCGGAATAAAGAGGGGCCAGTCGTAACAATCTCAACTTGGCGAAGAAAAAAGAAAAAAGGAGGAAAGTTTGTTATAAAAGATCCTCTACCCGAGGCAAGCCTCACATGTTCCGCCATGCACACCTAAGATGCCGACACTCGCTTACCCGACCCTGCACAGCCTGTTTCTCAAATGCAACGCTGCCGTTCCCTTTAGTGCAACGGTGGAACGTCTATTTAGCTTGGCTGGGGACGTCTTTAGAAGAAAAAGGGGAAAATTCTCCTATCAAGAACTTTGAAAGTCAATTGCTTCTGCGAGCGAATAAACTATTTCGGCGAAAACGCAAGCTATAAATAGACTGCATTTATTTTAGGCTCGCAGGGTTTTTCATTGATCAAAACTGCTGTTCATTTTGCTTCCACAAAAATATAAAAAAAGTAACTTGGAAAGTAACTTCAAAGTAACTCGCTACTTTTTAGAGTAGTTAGTAGTTTACTCAATTACTATTACAAATGCGTAATTTCTACTCTACTCCAATTACTTTTGGCGTCGATACTCAGTAACTTAACTACCTTATTTGAGTAATTTGTACCTGTCTGGCTTTAATGCAATGAGGAGAGATTGACCATGATGGTGTCGCCAGTACAATCGTTGGAGCAATCGTCCGAGCACACGACGAGCTTTTCGGCTGCTGCCCGCGATGCGCGGCCCTTCTTGGTTGAGCCTCGCTCCTTTCTTCCTAACCGCCCCCGCTGAAAAAAGACCGGTCCGCCGGCCATGCAGCTAGGGACCTTGGCGGTGGGAGCGTTTCAGTCGGGCGATGTGGACGACCTCAGTAGGTTTTTAGCGGTTGTCCCGGGGCGGAACACCGGGAGTCACTTCGTAGTTCGCTGGGGACCCCGCACTTGTACCCTATTGTTAGGATGGTGCTGTCGGCAGCATAGAGGATAGGACAGGTGATGAGATCGAAGGATTTTCTGGAGGCCATGGTGAACCCGTGGGGCCTGGCGCGAGATGGTCGTGCGCGCCTCTGTCCTGTCGCCGTCTTTGTCTTCCCGACAGTACTCTCTCCGACGAGCGACCCGGCCGGTGAATACGTGCACAGAGTACACTCACAATGACACATAAAGAACAAAGGACAGCTTACGACAGCATCATACTAACAAAAGTAAAACTTTAACTGACATCGGAAATATACCGGGTGATATTTTTGTTCGGAACTGATTTTTTTAAAAAGGCGTATTTACTGCTGCGTTAATGCCGTCTTCATTGTGTGTTTTTCGAGCTCGGCGGATATTCGAGGGTCAAGCAATTGTCACTGTCTGGAAAGTAATTAACTAAAATTCGTTAAATAAATTTTTAAATAGTGAAATCAGACACACGGTTTCAATTAGAATTTCACTGAGCCTCATCGAAAACAACTGAATCAACTCTTTCTAGAACGACTCGAAGCTCGTGGGAAACTCGGGGGCACGCCAAAATCACCACTCGTGAAGCAGGCGCGAAGCTAGCGGTGGCGGAATGCGATAACAATCTAATCATCCGCGTTCCGCCAATGCTGGCTTTTCGCCTGTTGCACGAGTGGTAACCTTAGTGCGCCCCCGAGTTTCCCACGAGCTTCAAGTCGTTCTTAAAAGAGTTGGTTCAGTGGTTTCTGATAACGCTCAATAGGTTTCTAATTGAAACTATAAATTTATTTGCACGAATTAAAAATTAATTAACGAGCTTAGTTAATTACTCACCAAACTATGACGGTTGTTGACACCTCGAGTATCCGCCGAGCTCAAGAATCAGATAGCGAAATCGGCATTCACATGGGAGTAAAACCGCTTTTAGAAAAATATCTGTTTGGAACAAAAAATATCACCTGGTAAACCGATTCTGATATTCCAGACCTACAACCTCTAATAATTTATTTTTAAATACTCAAGATGATGGTGCCATGACATGTTTTGTGAAAACACAAAGCCAAGCGTTTTTAACGAGGCAACCAATTGCATATTTGCTGAGTTTTTATAACTGCGTCCCATTGGAGACATAAGTTTATACTTGGGCCTAAATATCGTGAGTTTTTTTTTATTGGTATTTATTTTTAAATCCTGTCTATCAGTTCATACTCCTAATATATCTAGTACTGTGTTGGCCATATATATATAAGTTGATGTGCCTGATCAGCAGTAAAAAGAAGCGTCGTATCGTCAGCATATATTGCCGCGGGCGCAGCTAGCCAAGTAGACAGCGCACCTGTGGCCGAGCGGTTACCGTGCTTGGCTCCCACGCGAAGTGCAGAGGTTCGATGCCTATAGCGAATACATCTTTTAGAGCGCAGCACTTTGACGCTGCTTTCCGCCTTGTGCGGCGTCGCCGCCGGCGTAGGCGTACATGGAGGATGGTACCGCAACGAACAAATTATGGCTATGAAATGTTAGACTTCACACTCCCACATTTGCTAAATAATTTTTGCATTGACAATATGATTTGCGTAGTCTAACTTTCAAGGACCTGCGCTTATATTTTTGTACGTGATTTTTCTTTTTATGTTTTGCACTTGGGTGAACCTTGTTTTGTACAAATGACAACCGTCGATGCGCAACGGTAATTTCGGTGCATACTTTGTATCTTCTGTAGTTGTTTTCGCATGCTTGCTGCCGACCAGTGTAGGGCGCCCCAGGACCAGTCAAGCTGCCTATTGCTGCTTTTTCTTTTCTTTGGGCCCCTCCGCCGTTAGAAAAAGATGAGGCTTCACGAGCGTCGAGAGGCGCCTTTGTATGTGCTCCGTCGACCTCTCAGTTGTGCGCCCGAATTCGCAGAGTTTTACCCGGTAAAAAATCTCCACGGGGTTCTCGAAGGTCCCAGCACCACGACGACACCGGACTTTCGGAGGGCGGCTGATCGTCCGC